ATGTCATGCTGTTTTGTTTTGATTTCACATTTTCAATAGACTCTTGTACTTCTTTTTTGAATGGTCAGATTCTAAGGATGAGAAAAGGAATTCTGGAGACAGCATTTCTGGCGCCGATTCTTCCCCGTGCGTGTCTTAGTTCTTTTTTCCCTAAGACTTCACTTTGATGTCTCTACGTCTATATCTAACATTTTAGTAAACCATCTCGGTCTGCAGGGGATTGCAAATCAATGACGCACTACGGATGCAGATGGAGGTTCAAAAACGTTTGCATGAACAGCTTGAGGTTTGTTACCTGGCTATACTATTTTTTATAATTGCTGAAAGTGTGCTCTAGTTTAGCTCACAAATAATCTATTCCCGCGTCTTGTCCATGGGTAAGAGGTTTAGAAAAGTTATATGCTACAAGACCAAAAACAAAAGCAATGCTAATGTATACAAGTGAAAAACTGGAGATAGGGCCAAATAATAGATGGCGATTATAAGCAATTATGCTTCTTGTAATCTTCTAAATCCTTAATGCTTGCACACAAATCGTTCCTTAATCTTCTAACCCCTAATGCTTGTACACAAATCACTCCTCCTCGTTTAGAGCTTGCTCCACAAATCATACATCTGATTTCATTAGAAGATATGCAAATATCTTGATAGAAATATTTTTTTGGACGAAGTTGACTTTATATTTTACGAGAGTATTGTGGACTATCTTTTAATACTAGTTTCCATTTTTTGCAATGAAGCATTGATTATCAACTTTTAATTAAAAATAATGCACAATTTCCAACAAAAAGTTTCTACATGTAGCTCTTAATATGTGCCCTACCCTTATGCCACATGTTAGCATTACCCTTAATTTAATTAGGAATTGGAAGCTTGTATCAAATAAATCATATCTTCAATCATATTAAACTAAATATAAATAAGGATTATGTTAAGTTTTTATGTATCAAATAAATCATATCATCATTCATATTAAACTATATTAACAATCCAAAGTCTTCATTTTTTTTCTCTTTCCTCTTTATCTCACCCCATAACTCCAATGGATACTATGCCCAACCATCTTTTATTTATCATCTGTGAATGACAACTAAAGCAAACTTAATAGGTAAACCGCGAGTCACTTTTTCTTTTGTTTATTGATAGAAATTAGAACTTCTGGCGTGTATCTTGAAGAAAACAACTGAATAAGCATTTCACATGGGTGATTTGATTTGAGTGATTGGTTTAGGTTTAACTTAAAGAATGTTTTTGGACAAAAGAATGTTTTCAGTACTCTACATTTTTTGGACAGATATCACATTTCTAAAAAGGTTAAATATGTATGGAACAATATTATCGATGAAGAATTAAAGACATTAATTTTGATTAGAATATTTTTAACTCTTTTAACAATAGATGAATAAATGAAGCTCAGATAGTAGTGCTGTTCGTGTCCAATGTTATTGACATTATCGGTGTCATTTCTGTGCTGGAGTCGGTACTTCATATATCATTCCGTTACTGGTTCGACTATTAATTTCAAGTTCAATTTCTTTACGGGCCTTTTTTCTATACGAAACTACATTGGAATTAAACAGAAGCCAGTGCTTAATATTTTTTTGCCTGTAGTTTTTATTTAATTCTTTAAAATAGAAAGTCATATGCATCTTGCGGGTTATGGCCCATAACATGTAGCTATTAAATAAACCTTCTGATGGTGAAGAATAACAATTAGTTTCTACTTTGCCGCAGACTCTCAAGATTTAAATGTTATAGTAAGATAAATACCGCTTGTTAAATTTCAAAGTATTGTTGAAATTTAACAATACCTTCTGATGGTGAAGAATAACAATTTGCTTCTACTTCTATGAGTGAGCATTTTTGGTAATGATAAAGCCTTGCATTTGCTTCATTGATATTTCAGGTTCAAAAGCAATTACAGATGAGAATTGAAGCTCAGGGTAAATACTTGCAGAAGATTATAGAGGAACAGCAGAAATTAGGCAGTACCTTGGCAGCGTCGGAAACACCTCCATTGCCCCATGATAAGCAAAATCATTCCGTATCAGAGCCTTCTGGGTCTAGTGATGCCCTTGCAGGGACTTTTCCTCCACATAAAAAACAGAGAATTGATGAAGGTTTAAAGGATAATTTCACTGCATCCCAAGTTACAAGAAAGACTACACAGAAGAATGATTGTAATGTTGGCTGCTTGGATCCGAACTTGTATGAAGATGATGCTGGTTTCGGATTTGATTTGGAGACAGAAAATGACGACGACAATGAGAGTGAGCAGTAAGAACTAGGTTATGTATGTAGGCCAACATTTGTCTTGTTGCAATATCTAGTAGAAAATACAATCATATTTTTGTAAATTATATTCCACGCAATCCATTTGTATATATTAATGTAGAAATAGATGCATTCTTCTTTCCTGCATTTTACCTGAGATCATGGATGATGATTGTTGGGTGCTGCAAACTTGTCATCATTTATCAATGTTCTGGTTGTTATTGTCTAAATTTAACATTTTATCAATGTTTGGGTTGTTATTGTCAAATTAATACCAAAGTTGTCAATTAACTAGTGATGGCATTGTTTGATCATTATAGTGAACATGTGAGACAAGACTCTGTTATTGTTGTTAAATGTAGTAAAAACCAGCTTCTGTTAACATTAATGTGGCGTGACTATAAAGTTAGATTAGATGTTGTTTACTGCATTGATGTCTATATATTTAAACCATTGGGTGTATTTCCTTTTACGATTTGAGCATACAATGCACTTAGGATAGACTAACTAATTCAAAAAAAGCTATGAGTAACCGCGACAAAACAGAGGCTAGCTCATATTCTCTGATATGTCTATCCTATTCTGTTTTTTTTAGACTTTTGCAACGAGGATATTAACAAGAAGTTTTGCAATTTTTAATTTTTAAGAGTGCAAAGTCTCCCGCCTTCATATTTTGCAGGCCAAACCAATATTTTTAGGTTGTCACTCTCTATTAAACCTATTCCGCATTACTCTGTTTTTGCATGTTTTAGCGGAACGTAAATATGCGTTTGTCATCCCTAAGCTAGAAGTGAAAATGATAAATAATACATATAATTATTTCACACTTCAAAAATTTGTGATAAACGAAAGAGGAAATAATTTTATCAAATTATTTTAATATTAATATGTTTTAATTATTATTAAAAAAATAAAATAAAATAGCAATAAATTAAAAGTATTAAATAGAGTATATAATTAAAAGATAAAATTAAAATTGAAATGAAAATTAAAAGCAACAATTATTTTCAGATAAATTTTATTTTGAAAAGCAATATGAAAAAGATGAAAGTCTTTGTCTCAAATCTCTTTAATGCAAGTCAAGTATACATTCCATTATGAAGTTGATTTTCACCTTTTGTAGTGTTCATTAATAGTAAATATTTATGAACGTTGGAGACAGTTTACAATACTTAATTTGGTATCTGTTTTGGCCATGTGCTGTTGTCTACTTCACCTTTTTCAAAAAGTTGTCTAAAATGTTTGACTAAGAAACTTCTGAATTGTGTATTGTCTATCATTCTAGATGCTAGTAGTATATCTTTGACGGACCGATGACTACAAAATTTTTATGGATGATTTTGCTGAGCACTATGAGAATACTTGTTGATATATTATGAAGTGAAAAAGCTTAATTAACATTGTTAAACAGATTTGTCTTTTGAATACAAGATCAAGTTTCTGAGTAATGTTTTCCTTAGCATGAACTATCTTCTATTTATGTGCAAGTCTTTGATGACTATTCTGTCAAGAACTAGAGCATACTCTTGATTATGCTGCCATGTTTCTAAGCCTTTAGGCTTACGCTGTTAAGTTTCTGCAAAGTTTTTAAGCAAGCTTTTCATGTAGTTGTAAGACTTCTAAGCATACATCTACATTCATTTTCAATTAGTCAAACAAAATATTTTCAAAATGTCTAGAATATGAGGTTTTGTTTGGTATGGACTTATCTGTCATCAAGATTTTGAAAGGAAGAAAAAAAACTCGGAAGTTAGAAGTCTTGGTCAAACATTTTGATCATCTTTGCATGCCCTAACCAATTTTGAGCTCCTAGATTTAAAAGCTATTTATGACTTAGATGCGAGTGCTTTCCTTTGTAATTGACAATGCTGTTCATTCTTTACTCGTGTTTATTGAATAATTAATACGTCTGATTTATATATATATATATATCAAATACACCGATTCCAACCATATACTTCGTGATAAAGTCGATGACAGTTTTTTCGCCTGGTCTTAAATATTCCTTTCACTGACACAGGAAAAATCCTATAATTTCAACAACAATAGGCAAACACAAATTGCGTGGACTTGTTTCAAAAGATCAAGAGGTCTAAGTTTTTTTAAATCACAATCCACTTCCACAAAGTATATAGTTATTTACCACATTAGTCCCTGAAATACATTGTAATTCCAACAAGAACAAATGGTTTAGGACAAAGCTCATAGTTTCCCATGTTTCAAGGAGTAAAACAAATTCGAAACTGTTATCATGTTTTAGTTCAACTGACAGATGCCGATATTGTTAGGGTAGACAATAACACTCATATTCAGATGCAAGTCCTCCCAGTTGTGTGTGAGTTTCTATTAAATATTACCACTTCGACTACAGAAAAAGAACCCACTACAAGCAAATGCAGCAACGGCAAGGGCAATGATTTATAGTTATACTCACCACACACGCAACAGGACCTCCAAAATTGGTAATAAAGCCACAATGTGTTCTGTTCAAAATTACACTAAAGCATATATATAGTGCAGGGTAAACTGAAAGTCTGGCTTATAAAATGTACATACAGGAAAACACTTTTGAAGAGGGCATGCCGGCGACTCATATCGTAGCATTTCCCTGAAGAAAAATAGCTTTCCTGGTTGTTGGAAACTTGAGTGTTCAAATATATGTTGCAAATAAGAAAGAACTATGGGAGTCGTGGAATTTCGTTAGGAACTCATTTGCAATAAAGCCGTCAAAAGGGAGCTGAGCTAGTTCTGCGAAGCTGATGCTTAGGATCTGGTGGTGGCATACTTGGTAATACTCTCTCCATCTCCTGCATGGAAGATTCACAAAAAAGAGAGTTAATCGCGAAGTGATAAATCATCTAGAATGATCGATTGAATTGTTATTTAAAACATTATCCGTGTGTTGTTTATGCTTCAACAATGTTATAATTCAGCACTGCGAAGATGATCAAGTACAGTTCAGCAGTTATAACGTCGCAAACTCAAATAACCAGTCAAATGGAGAAAAATGTCCAAAAATCAGCAAGTTTTTTAGTGCTAACGCAAGAAATTGGGCAAAGAGATTAAGTACCAATTTTCAAATAACGAAACGAAAACAGAGTATGATAAGACTAAGAGCAACTCAACACTCTAAAGTTATGGCTTTCTGAAGCACCTCAATGCATATTAACTAACCAGAGAGACAAATCAGATGAAAGCTATAAAAATCTCGCATTCGTATAGTGTTTGATCAAAATTGCATATCTTCCAAAAAGCTAAGTGGTTAGACAGGTGTATTTGTAATTTCTAAACACTACAGCGTGTCATGAATTTTCATATAAAGATAAGTTTCTTATTCAAGCCAAACTTTCAATAAGCAAAATAGTATAAAAGCTCAAATACTAAGTAGATATTCCAGACAAAGCTTAATAAGCAAAACAGAGATTCTTATAAAGGCAAAACACTTCAAGAAAGAATAAAGAATCTTAAATACAAATTACGGTAACTGAAATGATAAACCGATTAATGAGTTATGGTTTTGAAAGTTTAACTAGTGAAAGCACTACGGTAAAAAATTTATTTCACAAGCAAGCACCGGCCAGTTGAAGTCATATTTAACAAACATTATATCACAGAAGACGAGAAGAATAAAGTAGTGATCAATGCAAACTAGCAATGGTATTGAAACATACATGCAGTCTTTTAAGCCTTTCATTTTCTTCTTCTAAATGTGAAACTTTGATCTCCAGTTCTTGTGTGTAAGCCTGTCCATTGATACCACATACAAATATACACATCATTGCATCAAATAAAAACACAAAGACTACAAATAACAAAAATCATACAAAAATTGTAACCTGTTTTCTAGCCCGCGACCGAGCTGCAGATTCCCTATTTTTAATCATCCTCTTCTGCCTCCTTTCCACAGTCTTCTCAACCACAACACCAGAGGCAACCCTTTTCCTACCTTGAGTTTGTGTATCCGATGAAGTAGCCATTAAAGCAGACGGTGATATACTCACCATTGCTTCATTGTAACCTGCATCCAAAACCGGTTGAACCACATGACTAGCCATATAGCTTGCAAAACCAGGCATCATCTTATTCTGATGATTTTGATGCTGATGCTGATGCTGTTGTTGTGGTTGTGGTTGCTGCACTGGAGGGATTTGGAAATGCATCCAATGACCATGTTGAGATGTATTGTGTTGTTGTTGTTGTTGTTGAGAATCAACCCTTCCTGACATAGCATTATCCTCTGTAGGAAAAGAATCAGTCGCCACACCAGCTTTCATCAAGAAATCTTCCAAAGTCATCTCACCTAGTGTAGCTGTTCTCCTATCTTGACTACTACTCTTCTTCTGTTGCATATCTCTCCAAACCTCATCAATAGTTTTCTTGCTAAGATCACTGGAAAGTGTCAGCGGATTCATCGACGTCCCAGAAGCTAGTTGACCATGTTGCATGTAAGCATCAGTAGCACCAGAATCCAATCCAGAAGCTTGAGCAGCTTCAGATGTCCACAAACTCTTGAGTAACTCATCCAGATTCATGCTTCCTAAGGGTTTCCCTAAATTTCCAAGCTGATTTTGCACCTCATCAAGTGTGAGATTGTACAAAGATCCTTCTCTAGCCAAAGGTCCTGCCTTTGGCGCTTGGATTGCTCCACCATGAGATCCCATATTCTAAAACCACAGAATCAGTCAACAATACAACCCTATATGTCTAATTTCATTTCCCAAAAAAAAAAAAAAAACCCAAAACCCCAAAACTCAATTACATCAAACTAAGCTGAAAACCCAGATGAAAGAAGAGTTTTTCTCACTAATTTCTATACTCAAATGAACAAACTTTACACCAAATTTGTCTTGAATTTTGAGATATGGTGAAAGTTACTCTAACACACAATTTCACAAACACAAAGCAAGCATTGAAAAATGGGGTGAGTGAAATTTGACATCTATGTCATCATCAATTCTATAATAACAATGAAACAAAAAGCAAAAGTTTACTATTAAGATTGATGATCCTGAAAAACATATTTTGTCTTCAAAACATAAGAGTTGAACATTCTCCGAGGTAACATTGCTTAAATGAACCAAAAAAGAAAGGGAAAAAAAAAGAATGATTGAGTTATCCCTTAAAGAAGAATTTAAGATAAAAACAAATAAATAAAATTAATTTGGGAAACTGTTGAAAGAATAGACTGTTCTGACTTTCTAACTTAAAACAAAAAAACAAAAACACAAAATCTGAAGAGTACTATACTTTTTTTCTTTCAGTTTTTTCACCAATTTAGGATCTAAATCTGAATCTTAAAACCTTTGGGAAAAAATTTCCATTGGGAGTAGTGGGGACATAACCACGCCAAGCGAGGAACAAATATTCAATTTTTAGAATGTAGTTTATTATTATAGTATTACAGTTATAGTTTATGGAAAAGAACCCGTATTCTCCATTAGATTGTTTTTTATTACATTGTTTTTATTAAGGGTGGACGTATTTATGGTTACAACAAATATTCATAAGAATATAATTATGGAAATGTAATATTATATCAATTTGTCATATTTAGATAAAAATTTATCAGAATATTACGTTTTTATCTAGTGTTTAGCCATGTATTGGCCGAACGTACGAAGAATGTTTTCTTTTTTCTTTTATTTTATATTTTAATATTATTTAATGTTTTAATATTTTTTAATAACTATAATTTAATTTAATATTTAGTATTTTAATTTTAATATTAATATTAATATTTTTTATATTTTAGTAATTTATTTTAATCTTTTTAATATTAATATTTTTTTTCGTTTTTTATTATGTTAATGTGTTGACTCTTGAATTCGACACCTACTATATATTGGCTCCATATACCAAAAATAGAACAGATAAAGCCAAGCTGAAAAATACCTCGACGGATGGGAAAAACTTAGAGAAAATATCTGAGTTACAAATTGGTCTTCGATCAAACATCACCATCAGGCCTTCGACGGAAAAAGTCTTATGGCCTTCGACTAGAAGAGCAAACCTTCGTGTGCTCAGCACCAAAGGCAAAGGATATTTGAATTTAAAGATTGGAGGGAAATGCAGTTCGCCAGCAGTTAAGAGAAAACAACGTGGCAGGAAGATAGAGGTCGAGGGACATGCAGAAGACACTTGTCTTCATCCTAGAAGCCAAGCCACCCTCGACAGTTATTTAATTTTAGTATAAAACTAGGAAGTTTGTGTAGGATTTCCGTGTGTTCAACCTATTGTGCTAGTTACTCAATATTATTCAAGTACCCGCTGTGTGTGAAAGAATAACTGAGAATGTACGTTGGAAACACCATTTTTTATCTATAAAGTCTTTTTACATTGCTTTTAATCTTCTTTTGCAAAGTTACATTTCTACATCTTTACCTGCATTTCTAGTGGCTTTCTTACTTTCCAAAACCATTAACACAATATCCTTGGTCGAACGTGTGTTCTTCCTAGATATCAAATTTCACATCAAACCAACATAAAAATTAGCATATGTTCTGGGATCAATCTGATCGATCCCGCGAGTAACCAAAAGGACTTTCCTTCTTTGAAGAATCAGCGGTTGTTTACCAAAAACCACGGTAAACAAATTGGCACACCTGGTGGGACGTTGCTAGTTTTTATCATCTATTTGTTCATGTTATTACTTCCCTTTTATAAGTATACAGCGTTGCATGTTATTAAGAAGTGGTAGAATAACCAACAAGTGTACTGTTAAAAAGAGAAATAGCGAGAGTAGAATGTCTAATGAGTCAAATCATGGAGAAATACCTCCACCAAATACTACTGGAACAACGATTATGACTACCGTTGGAAAAAATATCTCAACTACGGTTGGTTCAGTACCAATATTAACCACGAATCAAACATGACCCTTACTTTCGTATGTGGGTCCTAGAGGTCCTTTAGGAACGCCCCCACCAAGGGAAAATCCAGGATCTCGACCATACGTTCCCCCAGGATTCTCGACAGCCTGAATGGGTCGAGAACAACCATATGGCATGCCAACCACTGAAATGGCTAGCCTTATGAACGCTACATCTACTTTTTCAGAACCTTTGGTGAGTGCATCATCACCATTACAGGGATCTGGAGCCAGTATGGAAAATTTGGGTAGAAACCAGATTTTAGGAGGACCATCACATGCAATACCAAGCCTCACAAATGCTTCTACAATAATTTTGAGGCAACAGATGGACGAAAGCAACCATGATATGGTGCAAATGTTGGCACAAACTTTAAGTACAATGCTGAACCCCCTAATTCAAAATACTACCCAGTCGAATCAACAAATGGCAGCGCAAATGACGCGCATGGCTGAATTCTTTGGGGCACCCCAAACTACTCGACAACCCAAAAGAATACCAATAAGAGTAAACCAAGGGGTAATCGTGGAAGAAGATTTAACCGTTAATTAAAATCCACAGATCCCTAGAGCAGGAATAGAACAACATAGGGTTGAAATACCTCTAAATCCCCCACCAATCCCTAGAGAAGTCGATCAAGGAGTGATTATGGTGAATAGGAACCAAAATGATGATGAATTGATACAGCAAGTTCGACACCAAAATTATGGAACCGATAATAATCTGACTGCCATGATCGAAAGGATTATGATACAGAATGGGATGAACGTTGGTTTTCACAGACCAAACTTCACATCTCCATTGTCAGAATATATCCTGCAAACAGAGTTACCCCCTAGGGGAAAAGTTCCCAAGTTTACCAAGTTTTCAGGGGATACGACAGAATCTACTGTCGAACATGTGGTGAGATATTTGATAGAAGCCGGGGAAATAGCGAACAACGAAAACCTTAGGATTAAATACTTCCCAAGTTCTCTAACAAAAAACGCTTTTACTTGGTTCACTACCCTCCCAGCCAATTCGATCCATAATTGGAATCAATTGGAAAGGTTGTTCCATGAACAATTTTACATGGGACAGACCAAAATAAGCTTAAAAGAACTGGCTAGTGTGAAGAGGAGATTCACTGAGCAATATATGAGTATCTAAATAGGCTTCGACTGCTTAAAGCCAGATGCTTTACCCAAGTGCCTGAACATGAATTGGTCGAAATGGCAGCAGGGGGCCTGGATTATTCCATTAGGAAAAAGTTAGATACCCAATACTTGAGAGACATGGCCCAGTTGACCGATAGAGTTCGACAAGTAGAATGCCTTAAAGCCGAAAAGGCTAAGGCGATCAAAACTCATCGAAGAGAAAGAGTAGCCTATGTCGAAATGGATGATGACGATCCAGAGACATCTAGTGATCCTATAGATGTCGAAGAAGGCGAGATATATTTAGCGGAATTGAAACAAGGGCCGCCATACTCTTGTAAATTGCTAGTACCCTCAAATGGAAAACATCCTGTAGAGTCTGAAAGGAACACTGATAAATTCCCTAAGAAAACATATAGTTTTGACATCACTAAATGTGATGAAATATTTGATTTATTAGTCAAAGATGGCCAAATGATAGTGCTCCTAGGGGTAAAAATGCCTCCTTTAGAACAAAGGAAGAAAAGAGGTTTTTGTAAATATCATAATTTCCTGGGCCATAAAACCTCACAATGTTTTCTTTTCAGGGATCTTGTTCAAGGATCACTGAAAGAAGGGAGGCTTAAGTTCGCTGATAAGCCATCAATGAAGATTGATGCGAACCCGCTACAAGGGGATGCACATTATGCTGAACCAGTGGGCATCCATATGGTTGAAGTTTCTGAAGTCTTCGTTAACAAGCCCGTATTTGGCAGTTTTACTAGAAACATATCCAGGAAAACTATCGAAGGGGTAAGTGTTGGCTCCTAAATTCGACACCTTTGTTTTGTTGATGTCAGCCATTAAAACTGAAAGATGTCTTCGACTGGCTAAGTCTGTCGAAATGCCCGTCGAAAGATGGCAAAGTACTTAGAAGATTTCTTCCAAGGAAGGAGGCTGGTTGCCTTCGACGTCGAAGGAGTTTCTCGTCGAAGATGTCTCTTGACGAAAGTGTTCGACGGTTCAGAGTGGAGCAGTTTGAAATTCAAGCTTTTGGAGGGAAAACGGTTTCCAGCAGTTACTACGTGCAAACGTGCAAGGATCTGGAGCGTCGAACGTGGAGAACGTGCCAAGTGGATTAATCTCGAAGCAGTGTAACTGCCCGACGGTTACTTGGGATGTTTTAGTATAAATAGTAGTAGACATGTAGTTTCTCGCGTGTGTTCACAGTTCTATACAAAGTCACTCATATAGATTCGAGTACCCAGCGTGTGAGAAAGAATTGTTGAGAAATGTATGTGTGAAACACCAATTTTATTAATCAAAGTCATTTACTTTTTCCAGAAATTTACTTGCTTTCTCCTTTACATTCTTGTCGAACCTTTTACTTTAAAGCCTTGTTTATTTTACCAAGTCTTTCCTTCATGCATTTTATTTAAAACCTCTTTATTTAAAGCCTTATCCAATTTAATCAAACTTCAAAATCAACCTATGTCCTAGGATCAATCTGATCGATCCTGCGAGTAACCAAATAAGTAACCATTTGGAGGATCAGCGGTTGTTTACCAAAACCCGAGGTAAACAAATTGGCACACCCGGTGGGACAGTGTGTTGATTGTTGAAAATAATCTCATCTTTTCGAGTTGTATGTTATTGAGAAGTGGTAGAATATACACT